TGGGGTTTGGCCTTGCTGGAAGAGAAATGCCCTGACCTACTTTCTTCTGCCGAGAATGTAATAAAAGCAAGAGGTTCATGTAATGATGGGATTGATTTTTCTGTCCATATAGGTAAGTAAATTGCTGGCATCACAAGTTATCTGTGGCTAAAAGCTGTGACATTGATCTATTAGACTCTGCCCTATGACCTTCAGTAAATGGCATCTCTGCTTTCATGTCCTCACTGGGAAAAGGGGACTAATAGTGCCCTCTGGCCTTCATGAGACCTATTTTTACCTTCTCAGTAAAGAGCTTGGAAATCTCAGGCAGAGGGACCTTATTAATAATATTTATCATGTTCTTATGTAGCACCATCATTAGGCTGACCATCATTGGGTGCTCCAGGGCTGAGATTAGGCTGAGGGTTCCCACCACTGTCCCTCACTCCCCCCCAGAGGCAGCTCTGCCAGGGGTGACTCGACATCAGGCTTGGAGGGAGTGGAAAGGCACCAAATCAAAGCCTTATCCAAGCAGCAAACAAGTGGTGCCACTCCATTGCAATTTGCCATGGTAGAGGTTCAGTTAAGCAGCTGCCTAAACCCCGTGGATATCAGTGGGGCCCAAGCCAGGCAGCAGCAGCAGTACCAAGGCAGTCTCTTGGCAGTTTTTTCATTCCTGTTTAGTAGCTTGCTTTTAAATGGTTCATAAGCTCCTGGACTCATTAGCTGCTGCAGAAGAGCTGATTGCACACGTGGAGGAAAAGCAATGAGTGATGATAATGAAGCTACGGTTCACACTTAACTGCCCAGGTTCATTCCAGTGAGGTGTGCCTCCATACACAGTGAGGTGTGATCTGTATAAAGGCAGCATGCATTATTCAGATTAAATACCTGCACTGATTTTAGTATGGACCGTTGTGTTTTGTATCAGCAACATCTGTCTGACTTAAGGGCTGTAAATTTCCCTTGTTAAGGAGGTATCATGTGGTCATACAACCTGTGCAGCAGAGGAGAGTGGTAAGTCTGCTGCTTTAGGACCTTTATTGATGTCTCTGCCTACCTTTATGTGTATGCTGCAGTCAAGATGCTCCACATGCTTTTTTAGTTTGCTACACTTTGTTTATCACTCCTAGTTTTGAAGGCAGAGGTAAAATTAACATCAGTAGAATCTGAAATTTCTTGAAGTATAAAACAGAGTTATACAGTTATAAAATATATAACTGGATTTTTAAAATAATATTTATTTGAGTATATGTGGCTCATGACTGGATGATAAACAACCCTCACCTATAGGAGAACAATTTGAGCTTGACTGCTGGGAAATCTCTTCCTGGTCCTTGTCATAAGAAATTAAGGACCTTTTTAGTCATTTTTAATAAAATATCCCAGCGAGCTGCACAAGAAGACATTTTGGAGAAGACCTTCAGGTTGTGGAGGAGGTGCTAGGGAGAATTAAATGTTCTAAAATTGGTAAAGGACATCTCTGCAACATACTTTAACTAGAAAGGAGAAGCGTTGCTTCCTTCAAACACAACAGCTTCACCCCTACTCAGTAGTGGAGGAGGTGACACAATGTCACTTTTAGCAGAAGTGTGAGACAGATGTCTGCAGAGGGGGAAGGGAGTTCAGTCGTTGGGAGAAGGCTTCGTATTTTAGAGCTAAGTTTAACCAATGTCAAGGAATTGCCCAAGGTGTGCTGGGGCTTGCTAGGTATCTCTAGGTGATTTGGAATGTGAAAAGTGAAACCAAGGCACCAGGTCTGGCTCAGCTGGAGCCACATCTGTGGTTGCTGGATTGAAGAAATAGCTGCAGATGAGAGGCAAACTTGTCTCCTTCCCATGCCTGTGTCACTCACCCAGCCCTGACTGGCCACGCTTTTGGATGCTACCACACACTGGGCTCAGCTGGAGTCACATTTGTGGTTGCTGGATTGAAGAAATAGCTGCAGCTGAGAGGCAAACTTGTCTCACTTCCCATGCCTGTGTCACTCACTGGCCACGCTTTTGGATGCTACCGCACACTGGCTGATTTTTCATTTCACTGCTTGGAGTCAACCACACAGCGAAACTAGGAGAATTAGAATGAAAGACAGTGTAAAAATTGTGGACTGATGGAATTGGCATCTTGTTTTCAAATGAGTGCATTGCTACCCAGAAGCAACGTGTATTTAGGTGCCAATTAGTAACGGGCCAAGTGAAGTGAGTCCTTGGCACGAGAGCTGCAGGCTCTGCTGACAGGGAAGGGAGCTGCCTGCACCCTTGGCTGTGGTGTTTGTGGCTCATATTTCTGCATAAACATATCAAAATAAAGAAAAAAAAAAAAAGCCAGCATTATTGACAAAGCAAAGGCCAGTTCTATTTATATCTGCAGTAAGGCTGCGATAATGAAGACGCTTTAATGTGTCTCAGGGCCTAGATGAAACACTGAAAATGTTGCTTTTAAGAAAAAAATTATAATAATATCCCCTTGAAATCCCGAGGAAATGTGTGTGGCGGACTTCTGGAGAGCAATATCAAAGAAATAGGAGTTGCAGAGCATAGGGAGTTACTACAGTTATGGGCTTTGAATTGGCTTAAATCTTTGCTTTTAAGTTTTTTTTCCCCTAAGGATCTCTTTAAAAGTAACACTTTATTGACAGGGAGAATGTTTTACTGCCACTGAACTCTAGCAACAGTGCAGATCTGTCAGACCTTGCCTTACTTAGGAGTGTAAATCCTTTCTCTGTGGTTGCTTCTGCTGTCTGGCCCCTTTTATGGGTGTCAGACTCCTAGTGGGGCTGGGAGAGGCAGTGTGAATGACTGCAGAGGGGGACAGATGGGTAAGAATGTTCCTTCAACACAGAATTTGGAGCTTTGTAGTTAGGAAAGACATTTTTATTTTATGAAAGTCTCTTCGGGGCTTCCAGGGTGGTTGGGTTCTGTTGAGGCAATTGGAAAATGGGAAAAAAAAACCCATTTACTAAAAATACTATCTGTCATTTCATCCTGTTGCATCTTTGACCAGCTTGAATCAACTGGTTGTTTCATTGAGCAGGTTTAAAATATGGCTCTAGGGGCAGAAAATGCCCTTGAGCATTGCTGAGCACGTGTGCAGGTGTCACAGCTTGTCTGGTGGCACTGTCCCTTTCTCCAAGAAGCCTCATCGTAGGTAATTACTTTCACCTTATTAGGAATTTGGGTGAATGACTGCAAAAATCAGCACTGAGCAAGCAGGATTCAGTGTCTAGAGCCCATCACATCCCTGGTCCTCTCTCTCAGGGCCCCTGAGATCTTCAGCCAGACTGTACTCCAAAGTCAATACATGCCTGATGCATTTTAGAGTAACCTTTCCCAGTCAACATGTGCTTTGTTTGTTTTTAGCTTGAATTTTTGTCTACGTCTACTAGATCAGATTGCTATTCTTATTTAGTTAATTTGATAATAATGAGATATTGTGAAAATCCCACTTTGCAGAAGAAGAGTTACATCCCTCTTTGTCCTGATGCTGGGCAACCAAAGCTGTACAGACCCTCTTTAGCTAGGAGATGCTCTCTCTGCCTTGTTTTTCACGCCCACTACCCAGCCAGCCCCTCTTGTAACTGGGCTATATCATTGTCTCTCTGAGTTCCTGTTGTCAGATGGGCTGATTTTAATTGGTTTGCATTTTCAGTTAGTTTATCAGGAAGGATAAAATAAAATCCTGCCCTCCGTGCTCCTCTCTATCCACTGTAGCACCACCAGCTGAGCATGTTAATCTGAGGAGCAGTGCAGGCAGGGCTTGCTGCCTGTGAAGTGTTTGGAGGCTGGTTGTTAAGCATTTCATTATTCAAAATGCATTAAATTGTCCTGGATGAGGAGGAAGCATGTCTTGATCATCAAGCTGATGGACATTAGCAGTCTTCCACCACAAGTTTGCTAAATTTGAACTAGATTTAGCTACTGCCTGCTTCATTCCTATTCTGCAAGGAAAGCTGTGGACAGGGAACTGGCAAGGAATATGAGGCATAAATTCGAGGTACCCACAACTTGGACTGAAAGCCTTATATAAATCCTTGGGATTTCTAGACTTTGGAGAAATGCAGTTGGCATTACTGCCTTCTGTTGACCAAGCAGGAAAGTTTAACCGGTAGTCCAGGATACAAATTCTTGACAGTCTGGAGGTGGCTTTGAGATCTGAGGGTGGCTTAAATGTTACTGGTGGGGAAGAGCGAGAAGGGGAAGTAACACATTTCTCAAAATTGCAAGGTTTACAAAGCTTGTATGCTGAGCTAGAGGTTGTTAGGGTTTGCTTAGTCTCAAAACAGGGAAATCAGGAAAAAATAGAGATGGATGACAGGCAGTTAACCAGTGATTTTTTTTTTCAGCTTATTGCTAATATTTATATTTGCTGTCTTTTAGGAAAATTCAAATTTTGAATATTTGACTCTTGATTCATAAAAGATTTTGTAATTACTATTTAAATCCCTTCTTTGAGCATTTCTATTGGCAGTCACTACAATGTCATGGTCTCCTGTATCATAGACCTGCCATCGCCACTGTGAAAAACGCACTGCCTTGCTGAAAACTTGTAATAAGTAAATGCCAGCCCTAGCTGCAGTTAGTGTAAAAAAAAAACCAAAAAAACAAAAAACAATGCAGAGGATTTGTGTGAAGAGGAGAGGCTCCTTTGGCATCTGTTGGCCATGATGGATGAGCTGGGATTTCCCATCCTCCTTCTGGCTTGGTAGCAGAGATGCACATGGGCGGATAAACCCAGCACAGAACAGGAGCTAAGGCTGGGACAGGGACACACCATTGCTCATTCCGTGGCTGCCAGTTACTCAGCAATCAGTAGAATAAATGTCTGAGATTTGCTTCTCCCTCCCCAAACATTTTGTCATTTGGTCTTTGTTCAGGGCAATGTACCCCAAGGTACCTCAACATTTTTTATCTGTTGGCGTTAATCAGTTACAGGGTGTCATTATACACCTCTAAGCCAGCTAAGTCCACGGAGCTCAGTCTTGCCAACATGACTCTTCATTTCCCTCCTTTCATCTCTCCCAGAGGTCAAAAATAGCTGTCTATGAGAAAATGTGGTCATACATGAAGTCGGCCGAGCCCTCGGTGTTCACCAAGACGACGGCGGACGGGGTGGCCAGGGTGCGGAAGTCCAAGGGCAAGTTTGCCTTCCTGCTGGAGTCCACCATGAACGAGTACATCGAGCAGCGCAAGCCCTGCGACACCATGAAAGTTGGAGGCAACCTGGATTCCAAGGGCTATGGTGTAGCAACCCCCAAAGGCTCAGCATTAAGGTGGGTGGAATAATATAACAATATCCATGTTGTTATAGTATTCCACCTACCCTGATGTATTGTGTTGTCATTTTCTTTCTTGTGGATTTTGAGGTAACTTAAAAGTTTAAAATCTTCAATATTCCATGGAGTTAAATAAGACGGTAAATTATGGTTTCATTTATTTAATGCATCCATTTTTTTTGTGTTCTCTTCGTGTTGTCCTCTCTGATTGTTTGTTGCTGTTTTAATTTTACAGTTCAATGGCTTTTTCAATTTAAATGGTAAAAGCCAAGTTAACCTGCCATATGTGACGAATGTTAACTGCATGATGTGGTGTTGTTACTTTTTTTCTCAAAGACGATTTCCCCATCCCGCACACTTCAGTTTTGAGCAAATGTTATCCTCCATGCCACCTTCCAATATTTAACCCTGTATTTGCTGTACAGACATTTTGATAGCTCCACGTTCTGTGAAATTTTAGCCAATTTGTCCTCTTGTGCTCCTTTTTTTATACGTTACGATTTCCTAAGCATTTGTGCATTTTTTCTTACAAGTTATGTTTTATCGTTTCAAGAAATGCTGTTAACCTGGCAGTATTAAAACTGAATGAGCAAGGCCTCTTGGACAAATTGAAAAACAAATGGTGGTACGACAAAGGAGAGTGCGGCAGCGGGGGAGGTGACTCCAAGGTCAGCCTCAATGTCACCACAATCGGGTACCTTAGCAAAGAGTAATCGGCAAGGCTGTTATTTTGCTTCTCAAGAAAAAAAATCCAAAAAGAAAGCAGATGAAAATTATTTCACTAATTATGGTGGGGAAAAAAAACACTATTTTCTTGTTCAGTAGCTCTTTCAAAGAAACAGTCTTATTTAATATCATCAGCGGGTTTGTTCGAGCTTGGAAACCTTATTTAACTAACAGATAGAAAGTCTAGTGTTTGTGGGACCTACGCAGAGTAAATCAGTGAGGTAACCATACAATAAACCAATTATCACCTCTGGTCACTGTCCCAACCCTTGAGAGCAAGGGTTTTTGAGAATTTTTTTGGCCAGGACCAACTGTGACAGCACAGACCTTGAGGTGAAAGAGCTCCTGTTTCCTTTGGCCTTCTGGGAAGATTTTGGAAATGTTACCTAGTGTATTTAAATGTCACCTTTTGTACAGCACTGACCAGTCTTCTGCACACTCCAGTGCAGGAGCCCTGTATCTGTGTTTGACATGCCCTTGATACAGATGTGGACTCAAATCTGCCTCCAGTGGCAGCAGTGGCAGCCTGATCACTGCCTTCCGCTGAGCTGAGGCTCCCCCAGCCTTCCAGGCAGCCTGTACTGCACCTTCCCAAAGTTGCTTCAGTGAGCTCATGTATTGCAAATGTTAACTAGTATGCTTTCCTCTTGCCAGCTTTGTCCTGTAGGAATGGCAGTCCTTTTCTGCAGTCTTTAACCCAGCGAGGATAAGCTAGAGCTAGAGTTGGCTGGGTGTTGTTGGTCACCGCGGGTGCAGGAATTACCAAGAAAATTAATTTAAATGACATTGTTATACTGAAATGTACTGAAATTCATTTTTATAGTGACACTCTCCTACATCTAGTAAAACCAGATCTTTAGGGAGCAATAACTCCTAATCTCGCCAATAAAAATGTTTCAGATTTGGTCCAAAATCAATAATAACAGTAAACTGCAGTTTCGGACAATTACTGCAAATTACTGCTACAATCTATTCATAAGAGTTGCATACAGTTGGCTGTGTAGGAAATTGCTCAGCTTGTCATGTCTACTGCTAGCAAAAGCCACTGTGTAATATTAAAGGAAGGAAAAACTCTCGAATTTGGATTGATTCAGTAGCTGGAGGTCTGCAGTGCTCAGCAGCAGCCTGGAGATGAGCAGAAGCTTTTTTATGCTTTTTAGCTCTGCTGCTCATCCTTCACAGAACATTTTTATATGTCATATTTGCCAGTATATTAAATGTTTAATATCCTCCTGGGATGCAGCACCTCATTGTGTAATGCTGCCTCCCTGAAAGAAAACTCTTCATACAAACCAGCTTCAATGAACTTCATTGCTTCAAGTTCACTGAATTAAACCCAGCCATTAACACTTACAGCCCTAAGGAAACTAAGGAGGGCTTTTTAAATGGTCACAATTAGGGCAGGGCCATCCTTCTATTTTTGCTTGTGCTGGAAGATGTTTTACAGAGAACAGTGCTGTCTATTTGGCAGGCCCTTGGCCTGGTCAGGCAGTGTTGAGGGAGTGGAGTCTGTGGTGCTGTGCTGATACGAGTTGGTACCCAGAGAAGAGGGAAGGGGAGCAAACACAATAATGTGTGTTTTGCTGGTTTAGCCCCAAGTGATGTCTGTCTGCAGTTTGTTGTAACATGCTGTGGTGAAGGACTTGTTTGAGCTATAGTCACCAGCTCTTGGGGCACAGTTCAGCTGGCAGAAGTCCCCAGAGATGAGAACATGGGATGTAGAAGACTTCCCACAGAAGATTAAGCTGAGGGAGGCGGAAAAGGAGTTAGTGGCTGTTTCTAGAGGTGTGGTAAATCAAGGGCTTTTTTGTTACGAAGTGGCTTTTCCTTTGAAGTAGTTCTGTAGGCCCTGAGCCCTGCAGACTGCAGTGTGGCTCCATTGCAGCAGACAGGCAGAGCCTTCCCAGCACACCCCCATCACTGGCCAGGCCTTGCCCCAGCCCGGCAGGAGCCCCACTGCTCCCTTAGCAAAGATGAGCTCTGGTGCTGCCCCTTGTGCACTGCAGCTCCAGGAGTCTTGCTGGCCTCTCTCTCCTCACTGTCCTCCCACCAGAAGTTGCCCCCGTCATCTCATCCCATCTCTCTGGTTAATTGGTTATATGAGCACAGCTTCATTTGTAGATCATTCAGAGGAGTCCCTGCAAAACTGTTATTTTTTTCCCTTTTCCCTTAAAGGAGGTGGCAGCTGGGGGAATCGGGGTGGGGTGGTGAGGGTGCCTGAGGTGCAGATGCAGACCTTGCCCTCCATCTCAACCATTGCTCACTCGGGGCAGCTCTCTCTACCGGCTGAGCTGACAGACTCCTCTCTCAGCTTCCCCAGTAGAGACCCGGGCTTGGGAAATAGCTGCCCCCGAGTCGGCAATCAGCCTCCTCCCACCTCCTGACAGTGGGTTCTGTAATGGCTTGTGTGTAGATGTGAGTCATGTCAGACCGATGGTACCAGTTTCTTAAGCCGAATTCCTCTGTGACTCTGATACTTTAGCTCTTGCTGAAAGCCAGAGGTGAGTATGAGCCTGTTTGCTTGTGCCAGTGCCCATCGTTGTACTGCAAGGACCCGGCCACCCCTCCCCTGCTCGTCCTCCCTGCGGCCTCGCGTGCCGTGTGCCTGCGCTCGGAGAGGAGTCGTTCTGAGTTGTGAGTTTGTCTCTTGTTACCCTATCTTACCGCCTCTGGAAAATTAAACAGTGACTTCCATTTTCTCAATGATTTTGAGGCTTGCAGCAGGAAAAAGAAAAGGTGTTCCATTGGCTTTCTGCAGGTTTTGAATCTGTTGGTTTACAGAGAATGCCTGTGGGCATTCCGTGCTCCTGGGGTTCACTCGATTCAAGGCTAAAGAGATTGTGCCATTTTAATGAGTTTGTTTTAAAGGCCTCAGCTGATATGTGTCTTGTTTTCAGTGATGCCAGTCTGTGCCAGTGCTGGTGTGGAGCAGAGGGCGCCAGTGTTGGTACTGCCCAGGCAAAAGGAATGACCCAATTTCAGTAGTGGTCTTTATTTAACAAGTCTGAAGGGGAATATGCTCCATCCATTTCTCTGGGATGCATGTCAATACATGTGGGCTGACTTGGCTGATGCAGACGTTCTGGTACGTGCATCAAAACTCATTCACTTAGCCCTTCTAAATGCGCTTGAATTTTGTTTCATGGCAAAATTATTCTCTCTTCAAATGCTCTTATACATGCAAGCTGAGTTCTCAATCAGGAGAGAATACAAAATAGCAGTTGTAAAAAAAAATATTCCAGGAAATATGTTGCAGTGTATTACAAGTTTAGAAACTAATTATTTTGTTTATTATACAGTCCTATAATCTTGGAGCTGAGTTATGGCTGAATAGGGATTTAACAAGAATTAGACAAAAGGGGATGCAGACGGCGGTCACAGCCTGAGTGACTTAAGTGAAACTAATTATTCAGTTGCATAGGAACAATTTCCTGCTAAGATAAATTTCCATAGTTCTAGTGTTGATAAATTTCTTGTGTTCTTATAACTCCATGGTAACATTTAATGACAACAAACATGGAAGGAGAATGTTTGAATGCAGCTTCTCACCTACTTCACCTGCCAAGATTCCCTGCTAATTATTTGACTTAATTTATTTAATATATTCTTTTTTAGGCTGATACCCCTTTTGGAGTACGTCAGAGAAATGGCATGCAATGTAATATTATTTAATTTCCCAATTGTTTCTTTTTCATCATAGAACTACTTTTCCAGTGTGCTAGTTGAGTTCTGCCCTCAGAGCTGTGCTCCATACAATATCCCATTCCCAAGACCTTTGGAGCTGTGAGTGTGGCCATTAGCAGATGGGATCTGTTCCCCCGTGTCTATGTGCTGTTTTGCTGTGATACATTTTCAGCACAGCCGTTAGCATTTGCAGCATAATTTTTTTAAGTGGCGTATTTTTAGAAGAAATCTGTTATGCTTTATTTTAGATGATACCTGATGCCTAAAGAGCACCATTGCCAAACACGTCGTGCATAAAAGAGAACATTTGGGGAAATGGCTATCTTAAAAAGATGCAGCACGATTTATTTGAACCATTTGTTTGAAATTATGTTCATCAGCATGAATTTCCTTGTCATCCATACTATAGGCCTGCGTTATGAGCTGGAAAAAGATAAAATGGCTGATCAGAGCCAGTGACAGTAACACAGAGCTAATTCATGCTCAGAGCTGGGAAAGTAATACGAAATTACTGTATTGTGCAAATTAGTGACAAAGCAAAATAATGTTTTAAAAGGAAGACACCAGAATATTGGTTTAATTGACAGCTATTACTTTATAGCATATTAGGAAATAAGATTGTGTATGTTTTGTGGCAGTGATGAAGTCTTAATGCTCTAGGAGTTCATTGGAGCATCTCAGAGCACTGCCAAGAAGGGCAGAGAGCCTGCTCTGGTTTGCAGAAACAGCAGTTCTGTTGTGCAGATTGTTGAGGGTATTTTCCTGGAAATGGAACTGGGAGAAGTGGCATGATAATTTGGGAAGAGTAGGTTGCCTACACTGGGAAGGAGTTGGTGGGGTCAGAACTGGTGGTGTCCAAGAATTTGGAACTGTTTAGTTTTGCCAATATAACATCATGGAGACTGGCTTTGCTGCCTTGCCAAAGCCAACTCAGCACCTGAGTGTGCAAGGAGACCTGTTTGTGCAGCATTAATTGTGGCAGACCTGGGGCTCCTGCCTGGATGCCATGTCCTGCCTTTATGGCCACAAGAAATCTTAAAGACTTGTTAATTGTGCACTCCTTTTCATAATATCTGTGGTGCTTAACAGTTAATTTCCATAGATTGCTTACGTGAGTCATTTATCCTGCACTGCAAGTATCAGTATGGGAAAAATCAAGGCGGAAGACTCTGTGGTACTGGAAAAGGAAAAAAGGAAAAGCAGCAGCTGGAAGTGGAGCTCTCAGCAGCAGGAGCACGGCCCTTCCTTTGTATGTCTC